AAAAAAAAAAAAAAAAAAAAAAAGTAGGGCAATTTAGCAAATGTATATATAGCGAAGTTATTCTTACAGAAAATAAGTGGCGCCCAAAACCCTACTTCAGCCGTCCTCTGTTTCCTCTTCGCTGCGGCTCTTCGAAGGCCGAATGCAGCTAGCTATTCTTCCCTTCTTCACTCTCTAGAAATCTCTGAACCGACTCTCATTCGACAAAGCAATTCCTCAATCACTAGCTTTCTCGCTGTTTTTATCTAATTTCACGTACATCTCGGGTTCATTCTGTTGTGTTTGCAGGAAAGGATATCAAAATCTACCATTTGAGTTTTCTGAACCATCAATCGAGAAGGAGAAGAAAAACCTAGGTTTGTTGTTTGTCTTTTGGAGTACGATTCTGTTTTTCTCTGCTGCCTCTACGATTATGTGTGCGATTAGCTAACAAATCGATTGCGTCGCGGGTATAGGAATCTCGGGAATGTAACTAGTTTTACCTGAAAGCTCCGTTCTTCGTAGATAATTTAAGCTGTTTATTATGGTGCTTTTTTTATTTTTTTTTTTCTAAGTTTCTATTCCGAAAATTCAATCAGGCTCGCATCTCCTGTTTTATGACAGATTTTGATTTGCTTAAAATTTATCCAACCCAGGGGTCACGAAAACTCATAATTCTAGAGATAAGATTAAATTGGGTGTTAAAGGTGCGAAAGGGGTAATAAATCTGAATTTTCTGGCGTTAGTATTTTGATCTTGCGTTGTGCACTTCTCATCATGTTGGACATGTCTGTTTCTTCTTGCTGTTTGGCATCTCAGTATTCTAATCTTACCTTTAGTGGTTTTTTTGCTCACTAAACCGACTTCAAATTCAAAACTATCTTCATGATTTCTTATAGTTTCTAGACGGCATGTTTCAGTAATAGTTCTGAAGGTTTTTATCTTTTTACCTATAGCCATATTATTATTTATTATCATTATTATTATTATTTTAATTTATACATTATTTATTTATTTTTAATACACGAGAACTACTTTTTCAACTTGATGCAAACAAATGCTTGTTTCAGGGTAGAAAATGGTGCAGTACAACTTCAAGAAGATTACCGTGGTGCCTAATGGAAAGGATTTTATTGATATTATTCTCTCTCGTACCCAGAGACAAACGCCCACAGTTGTCCACAAGGGTTATGCCATATCTCGTTTGCGACAGTTTTATATGAGGAAAGTAAAATATACGCAGACGAACTTCCATGAAAAGCTCTCTACCATCATCGATGAATTCCCTCGGCTGGATGATATTCATCCTTTTTATGGCGATCTCCTACACGTTCTGTACAATAAAGATCATTATAAGCTTGCTCTTGGTCAGATTAACACTGCAAGGAACCTCATAAGTAAGATTGCTAAGGACTATGTGAAATTGTTAAAATATGGGGATTCACTCTACCGTTGCAAGTGTCTGAAGGTTGCTGCTCTTGGAAGGATGTGTACTGTGATAAAGAGAATTGGGCCTAGCTTGGCTTACTTAGAGCAGATTAGACAGCACATGGCAAGACTTCCATCAATTGACCCGAATACCAGAACAATTTTGATTTGTGGGTACCCTAATGTTGGTAAGAGCTCATTTATTAACAAGATTACTAGAGCTGACGTCGACGTTCAACCCTATGCTTTTACAACAAAGTCGCTCTTTGTGGGTCACACTGACTATAAGTATTTGAGGTACCAAGTGATTGACACACCAGGAATTTTGGATCGGCCATTTGAGGACCGTAACATTATTGAGATGTGTAGTATTACTGCTTTGGCTCATTTGAGAGCTGCTGTTCTATTTTTCCTTGACATATCGGGGTCCTGTGGTTATACAATTGCTCAGCAGGCAGCTCTCTTTCACAGTATAAAGTCTCTGTTTATGAACAAACCATTGATTATAGTCTGCAACAAAACTGATTTGCAGCCACTGGATGGTATATCAGAGGAAGACAAGAAGTTGGTCCAGGAAATGAAGGCTGAAGCTATGAAAACTGTGATGGGTGAAGGAGATGATTCTGCAGGTGAAGAGGGGGTGTTGCTTACTATGAGCACTTTGACAGAGGAAGGTGTCATTTCTGTTAAGAATGCTGCCTGCGAGAGGTTGTTAAATCAGAGGGTTGAATTGAAGATGAAATCCAAAAGGATAAATGATTGCTTGAATCGGTTTCATGTAGCAATGCCGAAGCCTCGGGACCAGAAAGAAAGACCACCTTGCATACCGGAGGCAGTGTTGGAAGCTAGGGCTAAAGAAGCTGCAGAAAAGCAAGTTAAGAAAACTGAGAAGGATTTGGAAGATGAGAATGGTGGTGCTGGTGTCTATTCTGCCAGTTTGAAGAAGAATTATATATTAGCCAATGATGAATGGAAAGAAGACATCATACCTGAAATTCTAGATGGGCACAATGTTTCTGACTTCATTGATCCTGATATTTTATTTAGACTTGAAGAGTTGGAAAGGGAAGAAGGGCACAGACAAGTAGAGGAACCGGAGGACGACTTTGAGATGGATGGTGCTGAATTGACTCCTGAGGAAAAAGAAGCTTTGGCTGAGATCAGGAGAAAGAAAAGTGTGCTTATTCAACAGCATAGGATCAAGAAGAGCACTGCAGAAAGCCGACCCACTGTACCAAGGAAATTTGATAAAGACCGGAAATACACAACAGGGAGAATGGGGAGACAGCTATCAGTTTTGGGTCTGGATCCAAGTTTGGCAATTAACCGCGCACGTAGTAAGTCACGAGGGCGTAAGAGGGAGAGATCTCCTGACAGGGGAGATACCAACGGCTCTTCTGCTATGGATGTGGATGAAGAGACACCAAATAAGAAGCTGCGTATGAGGTCCAGATCCTTGTCAAGATCTAGGTCTATGTCTCGGCCACCAAGTGAGGTTGTCCCTGGCGATGGTTTCAAGGACTCAGTCCAAAAGGTGAAGGCATTAAAGATCGCAAAGAAATCAGTGAAGAAGAGGAATAAGAATGCTCGTCGTGGTGAGGCAGATAGAGTAATCCCAACATTGAAACCAAAACACTTGTATTCAGGAAAGCGTTCTACTGGCAAAACAGACAGGCGTTGATACGTTTGGGTAATTCTTATGCTTTGTGTTTCTTTACCTTGGTTTGCATTTTGTTAGAATCCGAAGACTCTGAATACCGGTCTATTTACGCTTGGAGCTTGACTTGCTCTTTATTCTGCATTTTCTTTCACTAGTTTAGCATTGTTTTTAAACGTTTAAAATTAATGATTTACAGTGCAATTGAATTTTGTAGTGTTGGATTTTATTTATGGATAATTGGGGATTACGAAGAAGGATGAACAAGATCTTAATGAGTATTAAATCATATTTGCACTGTTGGAGAACTCTGATCTTTGGTCTGTCTACACTTTTTGGAGTTCGAATTGCTTTTATTGTGATCTTTGTCTTATATCATGAATCCTAGGAGTTCATCTTATTTGGTAGCCTTAGTTCTTGAGCAATTTTTTCGTATTTTCCATTTTGAAAGAGTCTTCGTGCAATATGAAATGATGGCTTCATTCATTCAAAGCTTTGAAATGCTATATTCTTTGTATGTGTCCTGTGTCTTACAACAGGTGTGATCTGAGTATTCAAGAGAGGAAAATAAACGATTGAATTGATAATTTGATTCAAGTTATAGTTTAGTCTCTATAGCTTTAAAATTTAAATTTTAAATTTTTGTTATTATAGTTCTTAATTTGAGTCAAATTTATAATTTAATCTGTAATGATTGAGAAAAACATTTTTTTTTTTTTTTTTTTTTTAGCATGAAAATAACAGCTTAGCAGAAAAATGGAAGATGGGAAAGAAAAAGAATGATATATATATTCCATTTTATTTTCAAATAGAATGTCAATCTCATTCAGTTTCAACCCTTTTTTTTAATTATTATTTTCTGTTTTGAGTGGTGAGAGAGGGAAAAACCATTGAAGAGAGAGGAGTGCGCGAAGAAGAGAGAATTTCGCAAGGAAACGGTTTCTTCTGCTTAAATGGTGAATCCGCCATTTCATTTGGTCGCCATAAGCGTTTCTTGCAGTTCTTGGTTGCAAATTCAGGTTGCAGGAACCCGCATTTGCATCCGTTGAATTTTCCTCTGTTGGCGACCCACGAAACTCTCCCGCCATTGAACACTCTTTTGGTAAGCATATGAATACTTTCGAATTCGACTTTTAATTCCTCTTATCTCTCCTTCTCTCCATTCGATCCGAAGTGTGTCCGAGGAACTGTTGATCGGTCTTTTATTGCGATTTACTCTTGGAGATTTCCTAGGTGATTGATGAATTCAGCGGAGCTTTCCACAACTCAAAGGTAAGAAATCTTGAACTTCAAATGCGAATTATCATCTTGTTTGCGACTTTTTTGAAGTAATGGATCGATGGAAGGTTCCATCTCTATGTGATAATTCTCTGATACTTTTTATTTTGTTTGAAGTACAATTTGGAAGCATCTGCGACTTAATTTCGCAGAATTGATTAAATTCAGAAAATTCCTTTGTCTTTTAGTCTCGATGGCTGAGATTTGGGGCTTACCAAACGAATCATCTAATGCGGCGTTTATTGTTAGCAAAACCAGCACGTTTGTTTTCTTTTGTGGAACATTTTCTTCTTGACTCTCCGAGAAATATCAAACAACACCTTTTCAGATATAAGTATAAAAAACTGAATTATTGATGAACGGATGATTAAATAAAGAACGAGAATTATTTTCGAATTTGCTTCCCGAGCATTGCGTTCCCTTTCGCATAGCGAACGGATTGCGATTACGCAAAGGAAAGAAAAATACATGAGAGTGAAATTAGTTTGAGAATAGCGGAGGCTCTAGGATTTGAAGACTATGGAACACTCTTTCTAACGAACAATTTGACATTAATCTATCTGGTTCATTATTCTCGTGGATCTTGTGCAAATTTTTGTTGTGTTTTTTTTAATCTACAGGATGAGTTCTCCACGACGTCCACTACACACCTGTAGCGTTTCTTTTCTGGCCATAGCCCACGGCATCTTCTCAAGAGCCCAGAATCTTGATGGATGGTTGGGCTCGACAACAAGAAAAATGGTCCAAATAACCAAGCTTGTGAAGCCTGTGATTCTTGTTCTGCAATATCAGTGGTCATTATTCCTCTCCTTCATTGATGATCGTCTATTGGCAATTTCAAACTTTGTGGAGAAGATTTTTCCTCCTTCCAGACTCGTTTTTGACAAGATCGACGATGTTCTGCATTTGGTTGAAACTTTTCCTGGAAAATTTGCGGATGCTGTTGACAAGTTACCCTGCTTCAACCAGGTTCTGCTCCTAGAGTGGGCAGTGACCCACGCCATATCTTTGCTGGAGTTCATGATAACCATTTTAATGAACTTGGGGAGAGATGGTACTAGAGAGAAGGAAATTTTGGTTGATATGAACTACAATAAGGGTCGTAATGGACCCGAATCAGCAGTTAAATCCGAAGGAACCATCTCGTGTGTTTCTGAAACACAACAAGGTGCCATGAACGGCAGTTGTAAAGAAGTTGTGAAAACGGGAAGGGAAGGGAAGGAAGATGATTGCAAAGGCACTTACAACAGAGCCATGGAAGGTAAAGAAGAATTTGGAAACAAGGAGAAGGGCAGTACCAAAAAAGTGGAAGGCAGCGAGAGTGGGAAAGCAAAAATGGAAAAAGCAGAAGGAAATGAAGGGATGAAGAGTAAAAAAGAAGGGGTAAAGGACTGTGAATATGAAGAAGAAGAAGAGGGAAGCAATGGAAGCATACAAAAGGAAGATGATATTCTGGAATTGTTCGAGACAAGTTGGCTGATGAAACCAACAGGAAAGCCGAAAGGAAACTTGATGCCACGTTCAGCTTCATTTCTTTGAACATATCACAACAATCTCACCTTTTTTTTTGCAGAACTGGGATTTGTAAGTGTATCATCTTTTGTGTATATGCTGTATATATGAAATTGTTTGTGGGGTCTGTATATTTTTTATTTTATTTTATTTTATTTTATTTTATTTTTTAAACACAAGTTTTGAAAGAACTTGAATCTTGATACATAATTAAGCTATTTTGTTTGTTATCATTGAGCATATTAGAATTTGACTTCATTGATTCTTATGGTCTGTTTATTTTTACACAAGTTTTTATATATATAGGATTTTGGATTATAATACATTGGGTAAAATGCAATTGTTATTCCATAATAATAATAATTATTATTATTATTACAAAAATAAAAAAAACTAAAACACAAAAGGAACGCCCACCGTGGGGTTCGAACCCACGACCACAAGGTTAAGAGCCTTGCGCACGCTCTACCAACTGAGCTAGACGGGCCTGTTGAAAAATTTAGTTGCTTAACTAGAAACAAAAAAAGACAAAGCTTAACCTCAAAGAAAAAAGCGCCCACCGTGGGGTTCGAGAGCCCACAACCACAAGGTTAAGAGCCTTGCGCTACACCAACTGAGCTAGACGGGCCTGTTGAATATTTAAAATTATTTTACTAATCAAAATTTTAAAAAAGCAGCTAATACGATATGTCCTTACGTCGAAGAAAAATGACAAAAGAGCGCCCACCGTGGGATTCGAACCCACGGCCACAAGGTTAAGAGCCTTGCACTCTACCAACTGAGACAGACGGGTTTGTTGTGAAAATTGAACCATTTACAGAATAAAAACTTAAATTTATAGATTAAAAAATACAAAAATTTTGATTTTTGTTTTTTTAAGGATAACTGAAAATGGGACATTATTGGAGTTACCTTTGGTCCAATTAAAACTTAAAAGTAAAAGTATCGATGGGTTGTCTATTCCTGTGTTTGTGTGTGTTGAAATTTTATCTTCACATTTTGTCAAAGATGAAGTCTATCACAAATGAGTTGGGGAATTAGAAGCCAAAACTCCATGAATTAATTACAGGTTGCATGTACATCTCATCTTTCAGATTAAATGAAAACCCAAAAGAAAAGAAAAAATCAACTTAAATTTACAACACCAATGAGTTTCTTATCATTGGTACACTGAACAGCCTTTGGTTTTCCATAAAAAGCTGAAAGCTCTTATTGATTTTTTTCTTGTAATTGTCTTGCACAGTGGCTTTGATTCCGCCACAGGCATGGATGTCCCGCTACTCTCCGATCGTTTCGTCAGTTTCAGTGATGGTTTCCGTGTTGGTGCCGGTGTTCGTGTTGGTGTCGGTGTCGGTGACGGTGTTGGTGTTGGTGTTGGTGTTGGTGACGGTGTTGGTGTTGGTGCTGGTGGCTCCTGTTGTCGTTGCACTCTGAACAACATCAGAAGCTTTTGAGCCTTCTCTTTGCCTCTTGCTGTCCCATTCACAGATATCGACACCAGCCCGGGAATTACGCCTTCCTGTAGCACCATCTCACTGCACCTCTCACTCCCGTTGCAAAGAATCAAGAGACAAGCAACTGCTTGTTCCTGCTCAATGGATTCGCCATTGTCTAATATTGCTGCCAACCCACTGATGAGTTCTGGAGTAGATGCCATTTGATCTATACCTGATTCATCTGAAGCCAAATTTATGGAGATAGCTATGCACTTTTCGGTCCATGTTCGACCAAGAGGGGCAGCAAGAAGGGATTGAAGTCCCCTGATGATTCCAGAAGAAACCAGGTTGGGAATATTGGAGGGCACGGTTGAGAGATTGTAAAGTGTGTGAAGTGCATCAAGTTTGCATAGTGTTTCAGTATCAGTGTGGAGGAGTTGAGTCAAGAACGGGACTGCACAACTTGAGCCGATAATAGATTTGGCTTCTTCCAGACAGGAGACATTGAGATAAAGGGCCGTTGCAGATCCGTGGCAATCTGGGTTCATAATCATTTCCTCCAACAATGAAATCACACCTTCTGCCAGCATTATTTCCTTGTTCCTGAGAAAATATGTTTCCCGACATCATATATATAATACACTATAATTTTAGATCAAAAGGAATGCATTTGCAAAAAAGAAAAGAAAAAAAAAGGTCTGAATAAAGATACATAAGAGTACATAACTTCAATAATTAGCATTACTTTTATCAAATTAATAAAAGGAACTTTTTTCAACTCTTAAGGATAAAAGAAAACAGTTAAACGGTCTATTTCTTTCATTGAACAATCTGAAGCATTTCAATACCCAACTCCTATTCCTTTCATTCAAGTCAGTACTGGTAAATGATGTAAAATCTATCTAGTTGTACACATTTTCTAAATCGAGGAAGGTTTTAGAGAACTAAAATGTTGCACACCTTTTTGCGTATTGAACTGCTTGATTTTTAATTGTTCACATAGTTTAGTTAAGAGTTATCGGTGCTCGAAATGTGAAGGTACTTATTGCTAAATAAAAGAAGCAAAAGTGAAAAACAGTGTACTACTTCACATACATGACACCTTACAAACAATTGATATGCTGTGTAATATATAGCAAAGAAAAATAGACTGCAATTGAGGCAAAAGGATTGGGAAGGCTACAAACCTGTCGTTGTTGACTGCAAGGTTGAAAAGAGCCATTGCTGCACTTTCCTGAGCCTTAACATCTTGTTCTTGCACAGCTCTCTCCAAGTAGCGTAGAAGTCCCTGGACAAATCCATTAGCTCCCATAAGAATCCTCGCCTCGTCATCATCCTTGAGCAACAGTCTTATTTGCTCCACAACTTCCAACTTTTTCCTCAAGTCAGCTTCTTCATTCAAAACTTTCAAATACTGTTCGTATCTAATAAGCATATTTGTGACGGACTCCTGGTCTTCAGCAGAGTTGTCATCCACTACATTTTCTTTGATCTCCTCGGTTGTACCCTTTTCTTCAACCAGATCAAATTTAGCATCTTTCAACTTACAAGAACCAACTGTGTCCACAGGCGACGAATTTAGAGACACTGATTCGGATAGCCTCCAGTAATTGAGGTCAAGACTATCTGGAGGCCCATCAGGAGCAGGAACTCCATTCTGTTCACACCAGTTTGCAATCAGGCCCTTAACACAGTAATTTGGCGTCAATGAAAAATGAGAAAGTTTCTGTTGAGTTTTTGGGCAGGTGTTATGCCCATCACTTAACCACTTCTCTATGCAAATCCTTTCGTATGTTTGCCCGGAAGCAATTATGACCGGATCATACATAAGCTGCAATGATATAGGACACCTCAACTCATCAGGTGGAAGGGGAATCTGCTCCAATCTGAGATTTGTTGGCTTCATGTTAAAAGTACCAAGCTTTGTTAGCTGCCTTTCAAAGGCTTGTCCATTTCCACCAGGTCCACTGTCCTCGAGAGAGCTCTGAACAGTGGGTGAACAAGGTCCAGAACCCTGTGAATCATTGTCATCAGATACCTCGCTTCTAAATAACTTGGAGTACTTCCTCATGAGATGCAAAAGATATGCTACAATTGATTCCTTCCTCTTGTCCTCTTCAGTGCGAGATCGATCTATTAGTTTCTTTAGTGCTCTTCTCTCTGCAAGAGCTGCTCTAGAGGAGTTTATTCCAAGTCTTATAGCAGCTTGGTGAAAAGTCTCAAGCTCATTGTTGTCAACAGTGTTGCTAAATGTTCGTCCTCGTTGGAGCAATACAATAATGTCCTCACCAACTTGCTTCTCCAAAGGGTCTAGGAAAAATTGAGTACTATCCAGTTCCTTCATAATCTCCTGAACCTGACATACAAATGAAAAGGGTGTCAACACAGCACAATATTCAAGCAGTATTTACTAATAAGATTTACCAAAGATTATGGTACCTGATGGCCAATTGACTGTGGAACAATATCTTCAACGCGTTGAAGGCTATCCTGTAGAGCACATTTTACCTTCTTAAACTTCAACAGGACAGAGTCCCCAGTTATAGCCTACAACATGCAAAAAAGATGTTAAGAACCGAAGTAGTAACAGAAAAGCTCCATGACAACTTCATTACCATCGGGTTAAAAATTAGTGCTTCTGTATGACGCTAATGGCCCTAAAAACCCCATAGAGCCAGCTACACTGAATAGGAAAAATTTAAGGGATGCAATCATTGTACTAACCAAATAAAGTTTGCTGCTCTCTGTACAATGTAGGAGAGTATTTTTGGCTTTTTCCAGTGCCACATGCAACGAGCATAATGCCTGGATACCAGATTTGCTCCGAGGTCGTGCTTCTTCCAATGAAGGGAAAATTGATGATGCTTTACAATATATTGAAGAAAGAGCCTTGCACATTCCTCCATGTAGCTAAAACAAAGGATGAAACTAGATTACTTACCCTGTGCCATATTATCAATATTGATTGAAGCATTAACTTCTAACAAGAGCAAGCCAAAATGATTAACTTGAAAAACCATTCTACAAAATACCGAACTTTTACCCCTTAGTCGTCTGATCACACTTCTTGAAGGCCAAATTTGTTGTGAATGTAGAAAATGGTGCAAGAAATTTCAGATCATCATGAACCCAACACATACGACAAAATTTACATGTAACTAAATATTCAACCAAAACCAAATCGAATCAGCCAAACCACAGTACAATTACACTCACTTATTCCTGATTCCTTACAAAGTATTTATGAAACCCCACACCACACAAGGTTAACTAAACGATATAGATAATTCGTGAAAACAGAACAGAAGATAAAATCACGCCAATCAGGATGTAGGAGGGTTCGAGAGTTTAAAGACTTTTGAACACAATACGACTTCAATTTAATCCATTCCACATACCTTGGCATCACGTGCTGCAAATAGACTTTCCTCAACCTCCGTAATATCCATTGTTCAAGCTCACCGTTAAATCCTATACTAAAAAGTTATGTCATCTGCGTTGCAAGATTATAAAACAATTTTTAGAGAAGGCAATGAAATTCTTTACAGCTAACAGACACAAAAGAGAAAAAAAATGATTATAAAAGCAAACCATTATTGCTTTAGCTAACATAATCCTCCTTTACTTTTATTCACAAGCAAATTAGAGAGCCTATGAGTCAACCTAAAGCTTATTAATAATTGAAATTGAGACGCCACAAAAGACTACTTAGAAGAATTGGTGGCGCGTAAAAATTGTCCTATACTACGGTGCGAGAACGAGATTCACAGAACGCTAATCTGAGAATAGACGAAAATAATAAAAAGACACAGGATAAATAGCAACTCAATTATCCATCAAACGACGAATAATTAGGGAAACGCCGACTAATTTAGACATTTTATCAAATACCAAAGGAGACAAAAATTGAGAGACCGCGATAACAGACAATGAACTCTGATTTAAACAAATCTTCCATCAGCTCGAATTGAAGGTTCAAAAACGGAATATACAGAGATAGATACGTATTGCCGGGATTACAAGCCTCAGAATCGGAAAAAAATGAATATCTACATACAAGAAATTCGAAAAACGACTTCCTGAGAGAAGATCTTGCCGAAACAACAACAACCATTGCATAAAAGCATTCAAAACAACAAACATGTAGAAATCAAGTCAAATCAAACCTCTGTTACATGAACCAATACACAGCAAGCAAACCACGATGAAGCTCAAATCTTCGCCAAAATGAACGGAACGAATTCGATGATCGAAAAGAAAAAGAATCGAGAATGGGAGAATCAGGTGGTGGAAAGTAAAGAAAAACAGATTTGAAACAGAGAAAACGTACCAGAAAAAACAGAGCCAACCAAGGAGGCTTCATAAAATTCACAAATTGTCTCAGAAAACAAACAGAATCAGAGGCTACCTATGCTCAGCGCCTTTTCTTTCCATTAATCATCTCCGTCCCCGCGCAAGAACAGATACTCTTCTTTAAATAATATAATAAAAATAAATAAATAAATGTTTAAAATAGGTAAGCAGATTTCTCGGAACGGCGAGGAAAAGACGATTTATGCTCTTTTCTTCCCAATGGGAAGACGGTTGAAAAAGCAAAAACAATCCTTAAAAAAAATATAACAATTTATTACGACTATACCTCTATTTTTTAGTCATTTTTTCCTTAATCATTTATAAATAAATAAATATATATATATATATACATTAATCACTCAAATTTCATAATCTTATTTCTAATTAATATATGTTAAATATTTTTGAAATCTTTGCATCAATCTTAAATCAAACTGAAAAAAAATCTAACCTAAACCAATAACAGTTCGAGTTCTTCAAATCATGAGTCAGAACGAATTCAAATTTTAATATAAATAAATAAATATATATTTTTTTTAAATCCAAAAAAATGTGAAGCAAATCGATATTTAAAAAAAAATTGACAAATGTCTGTCAGAGCAGGACTTGAATTTATGGGATGGCCTTCGTTGGATTTATGTGCAAAAAAAAAAAAAAAAAAAAAAAA